GCCACGCCACAATCCCTTCTCCTCCATTCTCCTCTCGGGATCTTGGGCACGCACACATATGCGCCCGATGTGAGTTTTTAAGCCACCGGGTCTGGGATGCGAACCGCGGTTGACTACGTGGGAGTCCAGCGACATAGTCATTACGCTTACTGCTGGTCCCCTGTTAAATTCTTTAGGACACAGTTTCATTATCTACAAAATGATTAATTTTAACTATATACAATAAATCCTTCCTTGTCCATAATTTAGCTTTCTGTGGTTATAGTTACTCTCAGTACAGTAAATTAAGATATCTTAAAGAGAGTGACAGAGACCACATACACATAATTTTTATTATAGTATATTGTCATTTTATTATTAGTTATTGTTGTTAACTGCATACTGTGCCTAATTTATAAATTAAAGTTTATCATAATTTGCATGTAGATAAAAAGCAAAGTATATATAAAGTTCACTACTATTTGTGGATTCCTGAATCTGATAGGGGTCTTGTAATGTATCTCCCACAGATGAAGAGGAACTACTATAATAGTTGTACAGTCCTTATACTTTAAAAAAAATATTCTTTTTAGATATTTTTGCTATAGGGTATATGTGATCTCTAGAGAGATAGATAGAAAGTGAAAAATCAACTTGCAGTGGGATAGTCATGCTGCAGTTCAGTCTCCTTCATTCTTCTCTCAGGATTTTGGACACACGTGCACTCTAGTCCAGCATGAGTTTCAGACCGTCTGGTCCGGGAGTCAAACTGTGGTCCACCTTGTGGGAGTACAACGCCTTAACCGCTATACCACCTGCTGGCCCAAAATATGTAATTAAAAAAAAAAACTTACTTTATATTTAATGTAATTCACTCTTCTCTTTAGAATTTTTGAAAAAGATGAATATATGTTGAATAAAACCCTTCAAGGCAGTCAATTACTTCTTCCTTATGAATCTAAGAAATTAGTAAGATCAACAAAGATGCATTCTTCAGAACCAAGAATTATAAGTATAGTATCTGTTTATTATTCTAAAACTTTGATTTTTTGCAAACACATAAACACATAGAATTTTAATTATTATTTGGTATAAGTAAGAACATATACTGAAGACCTATAGACTCAGAAAAGTACTCCTTTAAATCTTTCTGAGAGAAAAAGTTTGTCCCTTGTGCCTAATAAATATTCTGGTGTGGTTATGCAGCTATCAGAGGATGTTGAATAATTACTTTTTTTTCCTGTTTTTTTCTCTTTTTGAGAGAGAGATTTTTGCTATAGGGCACAAACATTCGCCAGAGAGACAGAAACAGAAAGCAAGAAATCACCCCCGAGGGAGGATGGCCATGCTGCAGTCCCTTCTCCTCTGTTCTCCTCTTGGGACCTTAGGAATGCATGCATATGAACCCGGCATGAGTTTTAAGCCACTGGGTCTGGAACTCAAACTGCTGTCAACTACATGGGAGTCCAGTGACATAACCATTGTGTCATCTGGTTGGCACCAATAATTTTTGGCTAGTGCCAATAATTACATATTTTTCATTTGAGGAGTTGTTTTAACTTGGTGACTTAAGGAGGTAGCAGATTTGTATTAGTATTTGTACTTGGTTACTGAGATATTTGAATCATGTTTCATTCACAAGGTATGCACGTTAGATGAACTATATTGTATTAAATCAACTACATTGGCTGTTTTTTTTTTGTTTATCACCACTCTATCTTCTTGGTTACCCATTATAAAGGTGTAGTTTTGCTGGTTGGTCATTTCACATCCATAGTTATTGTAATAATTATTTTGTAGTGAGAAATTGAGAGTTTTAAAATAATTTCATAATTCTAGAAGTTAAATATGTAGCCTTGATTTTTCTAAATTATAAGGTTAGGATAAATGTTGGAGATGATGTTTGATTCTGTCTCCAGAATTGATTTGAAGTAGCACTATTTAATAATCTAGATAAAAGAGAAGGAAGTTCTGTGAAGCAGTTGAAGCCTGCCAACGCTGACATCAGACAAAAAGAAAATACACAGGTAAATATTTCTTTTTTAATAAATACTCGATTGCATTAAATGAGTTATGAATCTACTACACTTAGGATTCAGAGGGATGTGTGTGTGTGTGTGTGTGTGTGTGTGTATTATAATAATAATAAGTAAACCATTAGTACAAACTTAGAGTCTAAAAATTTTAAAAGAGTTTCCACATGGCATTCTGAACATATATCGAAACCTATTATCTTACTCCTAAAAATAACAGAGATGATATTTTAAAATATCAAGCCTGTACCTAGTAGACCTAAATTTAAGAAATCTCTGAAGGAGAACAGAATTAGATTAAAGATGGAAATTGTAGTCCAGATTTGCATAGGATAATACTGTTTTATAAAGCAAAGATTTGGGGACAATGAATAGGGTAACTGGTTGGATTACCTCAATGAGAGTTTACTTAACCCCGGTTCATCCACATCCACTCTGCCTTGGTCAGGTATCTGAATGAGATGACTGTCCCCAGGTAGAAGTAATGAGCAGAAGAGTTGGGTGAGAGAGACAGGCAGGGGGGTCTTTTTTTTTTTTTTTTTTAAATAATTATTTTATTTAACTTTATTTATTTTTAATTTGACCAGAGAGACAGAGACAGAGAGCAAGCAAGTGAGAGAGAAAATTGAGAAAGGAAGCCACCAGGTCTGGGACTTGAACCATGGCTGGCTATGTGGGAGTGCAGTGCCCCCAACCACCATGCTGCCTGCTGGCCCCCCAGGCAGGTGATTCTTGATGCCCATGAAGAATAAGGATCATTTCACCTAAAAAGCTAGAGTCACACATTTTTGCTTTCCCTGTCTTCCTGAAAGTAGTCCAGAGGGGAATCTTCAGTGAACAATGTAATCATTCTTCCATTAATTCATAGTTAATACAGATATAGTGTAGTGGTGAATGCAGTAATAAGTAAAACTTAAGCCTAAATATGTATGAATTATATTTAAAAAAATCTGATACTAAACTCCAGGTGATATCAATATGGGGTAAGGGTGGAAAAATAAATGAAGAAAACAGAAGTTTACTGAATTTCTTTTTTAAATATATAAGGGTAACCACAGAAGAGAAATGGATATGTAATTTTAAAAAGCAGAAGGAAAAAATAGAAGAAAATTTAGTCAATCAAATTCATAGGTTACACTTTTATGGGAATGACTATAGCCATTTTTATAAAGAGTAAGAGTTTTATAAAAGAAATAAATATAGTACTTGAAAAAAAAAAGAAAAGAAAGCATTGTAAACAGAAAAGAGATAATATGCCAGAAATAGTGTTGAGCAAATTAATTAATCATAGAAAGTGTGACTGGGTTAACACCCTATTGAAAGAGAGGTATTTTCATGAGATATGTAAACAAAACACAGTTATATATCATTAGAACAGTTGAAACAACTTGACAAATGGCTGAAAATAAAGGGGTGGACAAGTATTTAGGCAAATAGATGCAAACAGAAACAAAGCAAGTATAACAATGTTATAAAAAAATAAGAGTTCAAGATGAAAGATATTTAAAAGGGTAAATATATTTCATTTTTAAAATGTATACATGTTTCTTGTTCTATTTCTTACCCTCTGCCATTTCCCATCCTCTTCCCACCCTGTCTCTGGTTTTTACAGTTGCTTTCCATTCCTTTATTCTTTCCCACATTGTATTGATTCACAAAATATCTTTTTTTTAAATAATTATTTTATTTATTTATTTATTTATTTATTCATTCATTTATTTCTTAATTTGACCAGAGAGAGACAGAGGGTGAGAGTGAGAGAGAAAGGAAGTGGGAAAGCAAGCCACCAGATTCAGGACTCGAACCCTGGTCGGCCATGTAGGAGTGTCCAGCGCCTTAACCACCACACCACCTGCTGGTCCCACAAAATATCTTAATTAATCTAAATACTTTCCATAGTAAGTTCAGCTGATATATACATATCTGTGAACAAAAGCTAACTTTAGGCATGAAATAGAATGAATATACTATAAAATAGCACATAGCTGAGGCTGTATAGCTTACTGTGGTTACCAAATAGGTATTTTAAAAAATACACTTTTTAATTTCAAGAATGGCAGTTTTAGCTTTAATAAATCAAAATAAAAAAATGTTAAAAGAACTTTGCTTTATACTTAAAGCCAGGAAACAGGTTAGGATTCTGTTTGAATAGTAGGTACATAGACCTGTCCACAACTTAAAAGACAAAACTCCTTAACACTGGAAAACAAAGCATAGAAAGTAATGTTTTGGTCAAAAGTCATAAAATTCTATTTCACCAGTTCAGTCTCATGTACCTTATCTTCTGCTGTGGTCCAATCTCTCCATTTAAATTTGGAAGATAGCATTCAACTCTGTACTTGTCCTTACCATTAAGCTGGCCATTTTTAGTTGTTTTAGAACTCTTATTTCTGTGTGTCTCACTTTAGTTTTCCTGGGATAGCACTCCCTTCAGAACCTCTTGGAGAGCTGGTCTGGTGTTGGTAAATCCTTTCAGATTTTGTTTATCTAAGAATGTTTTGTCTTCTCTTCCCATATGAAGGATAATCTTGCTGGTTATAATATTCTTGGTTGAAATTGTTTATCACTGAACACTTTGAATATATTTTCCCATTCTTTCCTTGCTCGCATTGTTTCTGATGAGAGGTCTGCTGTTAGCCTGATGGAATATCCCTTGTAGGTAACATGACATTTTTCTCTTGCCAGTCTTAGTATCTTGTCTTTGTGGTTTTGGTCAATCTGACTATAATGTGTCTTGGAGAAGATCATCTTGGGTTGATCTTATTTGGGATCCTTTGTATTTCTTGGGTCTGGATCTTTGAATGCCTCTCTAGCTTTGGGAAGTTTTCTTACAGGATTTCATGGAATAGATTGTCAATGCTCTTATTAGTCACTTCACCTTCTAAGATACTGATTATCTGGATGTTTGGATGTTTAATGGTACCTAGTATTTATCGTATATTATTCTCATTTTTGGGGGCTATTTTCTCGGTCTTCATGGTGGATTTTACTAGTCCAGCGATTCTGTCTTCTACATCTGAGATTCGATTTTCTGTATGATCTAGTCTCCTTTTAGTACTTTCAAAGGAGATTTTGACTTCCTGTATTATAGACTTCAGCTCCAACAGTTCCATTTGACTCTTTTTTATGGTATGTATTTCCTCTTTCAGCTCTTGCAAGAAATTTCTCACCTCCTGGGACTCATTGGTTTTTATCTTCCTTTCTTCCATCTCTGTTAGTTTTGTCATTATGAATACTATAAATTCTTTATCAGACATTTCCTTGATTTCCACTGTACTGTCTGTGGATGAAGAGGAGTTATTCTTTCTTTAGGGCGTGAAGTATTTTCTTGGTTTTGCATATTTCTTGTGATCCTGTGGTGATTTCTAGTCATCTGATGGATTATCCGTTTCTTCCCAAACTCTAGAAGATCAATCTGAGCAATCAGAGGCACACAGGAGAATGTGGTCTGCAAACTCTTTGGCATTGCTTTTTTCTTCCTTTGTTAACACAGATTTGCTGGGGTCCAGCCTCGCCGGGGGTGGGTTGACTCATCGGAGGCGGTGCAGGTGAACAGAATTAGGCTAAAACATTAATACTTTTTAGCATGTTTTTAGCTGGCTACAGTCAGAGCAAAAAACTCCAGACTGCAGCCCCGTGGCTATTAAGACATGCGTATTTATTGAGGGATGTTTAGGAAGTAAGGAGGGTGAGGGGTAGTAAAAAATTTACTTAAGGAACAGGGTATACAAAGCATGGAAACAATAATTATAAAACATGCTGTTTGTCTTGTCCGATTAGGTAAAAATCAATCACAGTTTTTAGGATGAGGAAGTCCATTTGTCTGTTGTATCTTTTTCTTAGATCTTGATTACTGGGAAGGGTGTTTTGAAGAGGGGACTTGCAGGATGTTTGATAGTCTCAGTCCTGGGCCAGGGCAGTAACACAGATTCAGTGGGAGTTGAAGAATATGAGGACCCAAATAGTATTCAGATTTGGCAACTTTTCACTTAGACTTGTCTAGATAGTAGGTGGAAGCTGAGCAGCAAAGTCATGATATAAAAGAAAAAGGATAAGAAAATAGAGGAAAAAATGCATAAAGCAAACAGAACGTTATGTATTTGTTCATTATAAAAAGCAAAAAATGAAAACTGTGCTGCGCACAAGCACTGCACAAAATCAAAGAAATAGAGGAGGGATTGGCCATATGTCTATTCCCCATGAGGAGTACTTTCTCACTTTCTCTCTCTTTCTCTGGTGAGCACCCATGCTCTTCAGTAAATTTTTAAAAATTAAAGTATGGGACCAGCATGTGGCATAATGGTTAAGGTGCTGGACTCCCATATGGTCAACCGTTGTTCGAGTTTTAGACCTAGCAGCTTGAAACTCAGGCTGGGCATATATGAGTGCATGCCCAAAACTCCAAGAGAAGAATGGAGGAGAAGGGATTGTGGCCTGGGCATTCACATAGGGGGTAATTTCTTGCTTTCTGTCTCTCTGTCTCCCCAGTGAGTGCATGTGCCTTATAGCAATCTCCTCCCCTACAAAAAAATTAAAAGGTGTTATCTTGACTAATTTTAAAAAATTGCTGTCTTCACTTACTATAATATTAAAAAATGGAATCTAAACAAAAAGATAGCCCTACTCTAAAAAATTAGTTGACTGAGGAAAGAGACATTCACATGTTTTCAAATTACTTTGGGTTATAGAAATTAAAATATAATTTATGAACTATTTAATAGAATACTAAGAACCAAAACCTGTAAAACGTAGCTAAATTGGTCCTCAGAATGAAATTTACACTTGAATACATGTATTAGAAAATAAAAAAGATTGGGGGCCAGCAGGTGACACAGAGGTTAAGGAGGCTGGATCCCACATGGCCAACTGCAGTTTGAGTCCCAGAACCAGGAGCTTGAAAAATATGCAGGGTACCTGTACATGTGTACCCAAAATCCAGAGAGGAGAATGGAGATGGAATTGTGACATGACCATCAACCCCTACCCTGGGTGATGATTTTTCATTTCCCTCTCTCTCTCTTTCTCTGTCTCTCTCTGTGTCTCTACAGTGAGTACATGTGCCCTATAAACTAAGGGGGAAAAAAAAGAAAGAAAAGGAGAAAAATTGAAAGCAGATTAGCTGCGTTTTTGTTTGTTTGTTTTGCTGTAGGACACATGTATTTACTGGAGAGAGACAGTGAGTGTGTGGGGCAGAAGAGTGAAAAATTACCCTCCATAGAGGATGGTGACACCAAATCCCTTCTTCCATTATCCTCTCAGTATTTTGAGCATGTACACATGTGCACCTGGTGTGCTTTTCAAGCCTCTGGGTTCGAGACTTGAACCACACAGTTGGCCATGTGAGATCCAGCCACCTTAACCACCACACCACCCACTGGTCCCAAATTAACTGAACTTTCAACTCAAGAAGTATGAGAAAGTGGAGATTAATAAAGAAAAATGGCCCATTCAGGTAATGTGTGCTGCTAAGATGCTGTGTTCTACAGGCTGGGATCACATGGGAGGCTCTGGTTTGATTTCCAGTCTAATTTAAAGGTTGGGTGTGGTGGCATGAACCTGTACTCCCAGTAATATGGGAAGCCCAAGACAGAAGGATTGCAAGTTCAAGGATCGCCTGGGCAACACAAGACCTTGTATAAAAGAAGGGCTGCGTATGGTGGTGCATGATTATAGTTCCAGCTGACAATCTAAGGCTGGAAGATGTCATGGGAAGACCCAGTTTTATGAATAAATAAGCTAGAAATTAATGAAATAAAAAAGTTGGGAACCAGCAGTTAGCGTAATGGCTACGTCACTGGACTCCCACATAGTTGACCGTGGTTCGCATCCCGGACCCGGTGGCTTAAAACTCATGCCGGGCACATGTGCGTGTGTGCCCAAGATCCTGAGAGGAGTAATGGAGGAGAAGGGATTGTGGCGTGACCATCCCCCCTGGGGGGTGATTTCTCGCTTTCTATCTCTCTGTCTCTCTCTGTCTGGCGAGCGCACGTGCCCTATAGCGAAAACCTCTCAAAAAAAAAAAAAGAAAAAGAAAAAGAAAAAGAAAAAAAAAAGTTGAGTTTGTCAGTATAATCAACCTTCTCTGTAGAGAAGGCCAGAGTTTGTATGGTAGGTCAACCTGAACACTTCAGGTGCACTTGTGTATGTCTGTGATCCTGGCTAACTGGGAGGGAAGGCTGTGAGATCATAGTGTAGCAAGACTGTGTCAAGTGTATCTCCCTCAATAAATAAATAAATTGTAAATAACAGAGCAAAAGTCAAATTCTTTGAGAATCTTAAACTTTTTTTTTGTTTCTCAACATTTGACTTAATTTTAAATTTTATTTCATTTTAAATTTTTTCCTTTATTATTTTTCATTTAATCGTATGTAAATATATATATTTTTAAAGGAGATTTTTGTTATAGAGCACATGTGCTTTCTAGAGAGACAGAAAGCCCACAATAGTCCCTTCTCCTCCATTCTCCTCCCAGGATTTTGGGCACGCACACACATATACCTTGCATGAGATTTAAGCTGCTGGGTCCAGGATTCAAACCACAGTTGACTATGTGTGAGTTCAGCGAAGTATCTATTACACCATCTGCTGGTCCCAATCATTATATATCTTTACAGCTATATACTGCATATTAGTCCAGTCAAATATATTGTCATTCACATTATCCTTCCATTTTTGTGTTCGTTAAATGTTTTGCTTTTTTCCCTCCCTCCCTCTCCCTTCATCATCCACCCTCCTCCCATACTGTCTCTAGTATCCACAGTTACTCCCTATGCTTTTATACCTTCCGATCTTTCAATTTCTGCTACAGAGTACAAACATTTGGTATGCCTCTCTTTCATAGTCTGTCTTGCTTTACTTAGCATTAAATCGTCCATATTCATCCACTTTCTGTCAAATGCTAGAGTCTCATAGTTTTTTATAGTTGAGTAGTATTCTGTAGTGTATATGTGCCATGCTTTCTCAATTCATTAATCTGTTCTTGGACATTTGGGTTGATCCCGTGTCTTAGCAATTGTGAATCATGCCACAATTAATATGGGTGGGTAAATGTTTTTCCAACTGTATATTCCTACCTTTTGGGTACATATCCAGGGGTGGAATTGCTGGATCGTATGATAGTTCTATTTGTAGATTTCTGAGGAGCCACTATATTGTTCTCCACAAGAGACAACCATTAGAATGGGAGAATATATTTGCAAACTTTGCCTCAGATAAGGGACCGATAACCAGAATATACAGGGAACTCAAGCAGCTTACCCACAAAAAATAATGTAATGAAAAGATGGGCAAGTGAGCTGAACAAACAACTCTTCAGTGAAGACATATGAGCAGCCAAAAAGCATATGAAAAAACGCTCAACATTCTTTATCCTAAAGGTGATGCAAAATGACTTAATTTTTTGTATGTAGTGGTTTCAACTAATGTTTGTAGTTGTTGATATTGATGATGACAAGGAGAGGGTGAAAATGAGAGAGTCCTGAGTAGCTATGTCAAGCAAAAAGTTTGCTTGTTTGCGTAGCAAGTTATAATGCATAATTTCTTTCTTTCAGGTGTTTAATGACTCTGTTGTGAATAACCATTCAAAATGTTCACATGTTACAGCTATTAAAAGTTCACAAAATTTTATGCAATTAAGGTAATTAAAAATAAGAAAATGCCTTAATTTCTGAAATAATTTATGAATATCAATGTAAAATAATAAAAAATTGTATTCATTACATTTTAGATTGTTAACTCCACAGAAACAATCAAATTGCAATCAGTGGTTTGAAAAAGGAGATACAGGTATTTGCTATTTGTATTTTTCCTAAAAAGTAGAGATAAAAAAATACATTAGGTTTTTGTACTATTCATATAAATAATTTGGGTTCTTTGCATAATTTATTCTTAATGCCTGGCTTTAAAATACATTTCCCCCTAAATAGAAAACAAATATAGTTCATTGTGGAAAATTTCTAAAATAAAGAGAAATACAAAGGAAACAAAAATACCACCACCCAGGCATAACTGACACCATACATACTGGTATATATTAATTTATTCTTTTTCCTAATGCATACTTATATTTTGTTCTACCCCCTCCCCCAATATTTGAAGCATACTATCTATATAATTTTGTATCTTTCCTCCTACTTAATATACTATTGAGGTTATTTCTCTGTGCCATAAATAGATTCTATTTGTATTGACTATATAATATTCCATTGGGTGTATATGCCATAATTTATTCAGCCATTCTCTTATGTTAGCATTTTTATTGTTTCCAGTATTTTTTTTGCTATTATATATAATGCCACTATATTCTTTTGCATTAATCTTTTACTATCTTGGACTGTTTTATTTGAATAAAATTATAGAAGAGTCACAGACTATATATATATTAGTTTATTATCTTCAAATTAATTAGTTGTTGAAACTTTGGCACACCATGAAAAATAATAATTTTCTCTCCCTCTTTCTGTGTGTGTGTGTGTGTGTGTGTGTGTGTGTGTGTATACATACATATTGGGTTGTTGGAAAAGTCATGATGTATTTTTGCATAGAAAAATACATCATGAATTTTCTGAAGACTGTATATATACACACAGACATACACAAATACACATATAGGTGTATAAGTGAGTGTATTACTTATGACATATCCTACACACATACATACATATTTTGATAACCCAGTAATGCATAACAATTATTCTGTTTATTATACAACGTAAGTCTTCACCTCTTGTCTGTCTGGTTGCTATTTATTTTTTTAAAAAGGTTTTTGCTATAAGGCGCGTGTGCTCGCCAGAGAGACAGAGAGAGACAGAGAGATAGAAAGCGAGAAATCGCCCCCCAGGGGAGATGGTCACACCGCAGTCCCTTCTCTTCCATTCTCCTCTTGGGATCTTGGGCACGCACACACACGCTCCTGGCATGAGTTTAAGCCACTGGGTCCAGGACTCGAACCACGGTTGACTACATGGGAGTCCAGTGATACAGCCATTATGCTAACTGCTGGTGCCTGTCTGATTTTTTAAGAACTATTTGTTTGATTTTATTAATGATTATTTTTAAATTTGACCAGAGAGAGATAGAGAGTGAAAGTGAGAAAGTAAGTCTCCATGTCCAGGACTCAAACTGTGGTTAGCTATGTGGGAGTTCAGCACCTCAACCATTGTGCCTCCTGCTGCCCCCCCCCCCATGTCTGATTACTATTGTTTTAAAGTTTCAAAGTTCTTTATCCTGAAGGCATGAAAATTCTTTAAATACGTGCTACTCAAAATAGTATACGTATATTTATATAAATATATTATGAGTCTATTTCTTTCTTACAGGATTCACCTAACATAATATGCTTATTTTGGCACACCTCAATGTTCTATCTGCATTTTCTTTCTTGTTTTTTGGAGAATTTTTTGCTATAGGGCACGTGCGCTTGCCAGAAAGACAGAGATAGACAGACAGACAGAAAGCGAGAAATCACTCCCCGGGGGGGATGACCACACTGCAATCCCTTCTTCTCCATTCTCTTCTCAGGATCTTGGGCACGCATGCACATGTGCCTGGCGTGAGTTTAAGCCACCAGGTCAGGGACTCGAACCACGGTTGACTATATGGGAGTCTAGCGACATAGCTATTACTCCAACTGCTGGTCCATCTCTCTGCATTTTCTATGAGAAAAAAATTTATCTTACCTAAAGAGCTCATCTGTTCCACTTTATAATCCTTCATATATGCCAAACCAATAGAATATTAGACAGAGAAGAGTAGTTAATGTCTAGAAATAATATACCCTGATATAGATACATGGAGAAATATGTATATCTGGTATAGTGCTCCTATTGTTGAGCGTATATAGTGAGGCTTCATACTTAAGAAGGTATACAATTATTTTGCAAGATAAAAAGACCTTTAAGCAATCTCCAAATTTGTCTTTTTGAAGAAATTAGTATGTGGTGAAAAATAATATTTATGACTTAAAGCAAGAGGCAAAAACTACAAAGATTTCAGAAGATCAGATAGAAAATCCTTTCCTATCGTGCCTTCAAGATAGGAAAGGATTTATTAAAACAGAATTTAAAAGCCCAATCATTAAAAAAATCAATAATTTTGGCTATATTAAAATTTAGAATTTCTGTTAAAAAAGATACCATTTAAAACAAAAGTGCAGGGTCAGCAGGTCATGTAGTGGATGTGTCACTGGACTCCCACATGGTCAACAGTGGTTTGAATACCTGACTTGGTGACTTGAAAATCATGCCAGCAACATGTACATGTATGTTCAAACTCCGGAGAGGAGAATGGAGGAGAAGGGACTGTGGTATGGCCATCCCCCTGGAGGATGATTCCTTACTTTCCCTTTCTCTGTCTTGCTCCTGTCTTGTGAGCACACGTGCCCTATAGCAAAAATCTTTTTTTTTTTTAAAGTGTAAGGCAGTTTAACAAGCAAGAATTTCTATTTTTAGTACATAAGACTATCAAAAACTATCAAAAGAGTAGTTTCCAAATATGTTAAAAACTTCTGCTATCAAGAACAAAAAAGCAGGGACCAGCAGTTAGCGTAATGGCTATGTCGCTGTACTCCCATGTAATTGACCGCGGTTCGAGTCCCTAACCCGATGGCTTAAACTCACGCTGGGCACGTGTGCGTGTGCACCCAAGATCCCAAGAGGAGAATGGAGGGGAAGGGATTGCGGTGTGGTCATCCCCCCTGGGGGGTGATTTCCTGCTGTCTCTGTCTCTGTCTGTCTGGCGAGCGCACGCGCCCTATAGCAAAAACCTCTCCAAAAAAAAGAAAAAAAAAAAAGACAATCCAATTAGAAATACATGTAAAATGCATGAATAGACACTTCAAAAACAGGAAACTCTTATGGTGGATTAAATATATGAAAATGTTTTCAGCAAATCAGGGAACTACCAAATAAAACCACAGTGAGATACCATTACACATCCAATCACATTTGCAAAATTTGGAAAGTCTGAGAGTACCAAGTATTTTTATAAAACTTTTGCCATAGAGCACATGCACTCAACAGAGAGAGGGAAAGAATTCCCCAAGGAGAGTGGGCATGTTGCAGTCCCTTTTCCTCCATTCCTACCCCCTTTTGGGATTTTGGGCACACGCATATACGCAGATTATTCTCAAGTCACTGGGTATAGGACTCAAACTGCACAGTTGGCTATGTGGGATTCAGCTGCCTTAACCACAATGCCATGGGATGGCCCAGACAGTGCTAAGCATTGATGAGAATATAGGACAATAGGAATGCTCATAAATTTTGGGAGGAACTACCATTAATCAATAACTGGATATCCATACCATACCTAAATTATAATTGGAACTAATTTTGTCTGAAGAAATTGAATGATTTTCTGGAAGTAGTTCAGAATGACTAGTTGTCACAACAAAAATTGATACAACCCAAATTTGGTAACTGGCAAAAATGGGAGATCCATTGCAATTCTACTCCCTAGATATATTCCTGGAAATATATAAAGACATACATACAAAATACATGTAAAATTTTTTTCTTAACATCAGTGTTTATAATAACCTCAAGCAGAGGTATCCTCAATGCCCATTTACAATAGAATGGATAGATACATTATGTTGGGTTTATATAATGGAATTCTTTTACCTCAGTTAGAATAAGAATACTATGGCTAGATTCAAGAATATGTGTGAATCACAAAAGTCAGGATAGTAATTACTTCTGTGGATTACAATCCCACATGGAGAATGTAGGATTTTTTAAAATGTTCATGATCTATTTCTTTGCTTGGGTGGTGGTTATATGGGTATTCTCCTTATAATTTTGTTTGTTAAACTTTTAAAATATGCTTTTTTTTCTTATCTGTTATGTATTGGGTCAAGCCATATGAAATTGCCATTAAAAAACAAATTGCTGGAGCCAGCAGATGGCATAGTAATTTAAGGGTGCTTAATTCCTACATGTTTGAGTCCTGGACCAGGTGGCTTGCTTTCTCACTTTCTGTCTCTTCTCTCTCACTCTGTCCCTCTTTGGTAAAATGTTAATTAATTAATTAGTTAATTAATTAGTTCTTTTTAAAAAATTGCCAGGGTATGTGTACACTTACCAGTTGAAGGGGATCGGGGTGAAAGGGGAGCAGGCAGCAGGGCAGGGAAGAAAGCACCCCCTATGAGGAATGGTTACTGCAATCTCTTTTCCACTTCTTCCTCCTTTCAAGATTTGCCTATGCATGCACCTGCGACTATAATGTTTTTCAAGCCACTGGTTCAGGACTCAACTGCATGGTTGGCCATGTGGGATTCTGCCACTTTAACCACCAGGCCATGGGATGACTCGAAAATGTCCATTTTGGTAGGTTTAAAACAGTGAAATATTGGCTATCTTGGGACCAGCAGGTAGCATGGAGGCTAAGGAGGCTGAATCTCCCATGGCCTACTACAGGGTTCAAGTCCTGGACCTGCAGTTTGAAAATCATGCCAGGTACATGTACATGTGTGCCCAATATCCCAAAAGGAAAACGGAAGACAAGGGACTGTGGCATGACCATCTCCCCCAGGGAATGATTTCTCACATTCCGTTTTTCTGTCTCTCTCTGGTGAACACATGTACCCTATAGCAAAACTAAAAAAAGAAATAAAAGGCAATTTCATATGGTTGACCTAATGTTTGTTTTACAATAAAATTGCAAAAAGAGGAAAATAGTTTATTCTCATGTAACAGATGCTGAGTGTGGAAATAAGGGGACAGTAAGACAATTAAGAGAAGGAAAATGTACTTCACAAGTAAGTCAAATGTTTGGATTCTAAGCAAAATATTCTAATTTAACATAGTCTATGTACATTTAAGTTTCATGGTTAATACAATGAAGATTGTTTATGTGAGATGCTATTAACTTGGTAATCAGACTTTTAGGGAGTTATGGGTTCTAGTTTTCAGATTTCAGAAGTTAATATAATGGCTATGTCGCTGGACTCCCTTTGGTAAGATTAAGTGGTTTGCCATATCAATTTAGGACCACTTGTTCTCATAAAAACATTTTGAAGGTATTTTTAAATAGTGCAAAGCTTTAATAGTGATAGATGTAGACAAAGAGTATCAGACTTATACCGTCTATTAAGGTTAAAACAAGAGAAACACCATCCTAGTATTCTGCTGTAAAGAAATATAGATAATAAGTGCATTTTAAATTTTGGCAGAAGGACCCAAATTTTTTCTGCAGTGGGATTTTGTATAAGAAGCATATTTGAGAAATACCTCCAGTTTAGAACGTCATATAAAGGAAAATTAGTCTTCAGGTTCTCAATCTTTGTAGAAAAATTAGTATAATGAATTTAGAAAAGCAGAAAAGTACAAAAAAGCATATAAACCATCAAGAGCAACATTGCTTAAAAATAAATTTTTTCCCTTTCAAAGAGGTAGTATACAATTCTTTACCCAGAGCATAATGTAGAAATTAAAAAAATCATTCCTGATTATTTTTCTTCACTTTAGTATGTTCCAATTATTTATTTTTTCAGGTTGGGGTGCAGAAAATAGAGCTGGGGAGAAAAAAATATATATAATTAAAAATAATTATTTTTGTAATTTTGAATATGTATGTTTTAGTATCATTTTCTAAAATTCTTATTTATTTTTTTCCATGAAATGATAATATTATAGATTAATATGGTGTTTTCTTTCTCACACATTTTTATATATGTAATTTTATTGATGTGGTAACATTCATTTTTATAGTATTCTGTTACTCTGAATTTGCAGGTTGTATATGCAGAACACTTTGGGAAGCCAATAGGAAATAATAGCACTGAAGGAGAAAGAGAAGGGGCTGAAAATTTTCCACAAACTCCTGAAATTCCTATATTTTTAAGAAATCCTGAACCTGTGAAAACACCTGAGTCTTTGGAGAAGATACAGTTTCCTAAAACTCCTTCATTTGAAATGTAGGACTTTAATGAATTATTATTAAATTATCTATATGTTGAGTTATATAAATAATTGATAGGAGTAGTAAAATGTTTAGTACCTGTAACTTTTAAAAAATATTATTTTGTTACTATTTTTTATATTTTCTGTAGGGCACATACACTCAGCAGAGAGAGAGAGAGAGAGAGAGAGAGAGAGAGAGAAAGTGAGAACGCAAGCCTCCAGGTCTGGCTCTCAAACTGCTGTCGACCATGCATGAGTCCAGTGTCTGAACCAGCACCCCACCTGCTGGCCCCCTAGTACCTGTAACTAAAAAGTTTCAAAGGAGGGGCCAGCAGATGGCCTGGTGGTTAAAGGCACTGGACCTCCCACATGGTCAGCCATGGTTTGAGTCCCAGATTTGGTTGCTTCCTTTCTCACTTCATTCTCTCTCTGGTAAAATTGAGAAATAATGATAATAAATAAAGTTTTTTAAAAAGTTTCAAAGGAGAGATTAGTATATTAAACTTAGAGGTATTCATTACCCTATTTGAACTATTATTAATGTTTTGCTGCTGTTCTTGTTTTATAGACTCCCTCCCATTTCCTACAACATTTAACTGAAGATGGCATAGATCCTGAATACTTATCCAGTGCAATAATAATATTTAGATTTGAGATGTTCCAAAGGATAAAAACAATTAGGAAAATTTAAAAATTTCAAGCTAAAAACCTCTTATATGGTAGATTGTAGACTCATGGAATAGTTTACCTGTAGTCAAGTCGTTTTTAGTGCCTAAAGCAAGAGTTGCCATTCTGTTGTGTAACCTCTTTAGGCATAAGTGTGGCAGCATGATTATTAATTTTGGAAACCACAGATTTATAATTTACAACCACAAAAATTGTGCTACATCTTAACCTTTTGGTTTAGTTCAGTCTCTTCCTTGAGGTTCTTCTAAAACATGTTAGTAGACCAACAGATGGTGTAATAGTTACATTGCTGGACTCCCACATAGCCAAGCATGGTTTGAGTTCCAGACCTGGAGGCTTGAAACTCACACTAGCCACGTGTACATGTGTGTCCAAAATCCTGAGAGGAGATTGGAGGAGAATAGGTTGTGGCATGGCCATGCCCTGTGGGGAATAATTTCTTGCTTTCTGTCTCTGTTTCTATCTCTCTGACAAGTGCACACACCCTATAGCAAAAATCTCTCTAAAAATAAGTCAAACAGATTTCACTTCATCAAGAATCTCTCACCTATGTTTCACTTCTGTATTTTAAATTGCATGTATGAATGTCATGCTATTGTTAAGCATATCATGTTCAAACTGGAATTAATTATGAAATATACGAACTGTAAGAGAATGTGAGATCATATTTTAAAACCTCTCAGCATGGATGAAAAAGCTATGATCTATAAAGTTAAGTGACTTATTCATGGTCTTAGTTATAGCAATATCATCAGAATTCTATAATATTAAAAAAACTTATTAAGCACTATGTCAAGCCTGTCCTAGGCATTTTATAAGTATTTCTCATTTAATATTCACAAAGAGATATAGGTATGTTATTATCCTTATTTTATAGATGAGAAATCAGAATCATGGCTTCAGCCACCACACCAACTGTTGACCCCTTCTTTATGCACTTTCTAATGGCTGACTCCTTATCAAAACTGAAATCTTAGGCCTTGCTTTTAAGGTCTCAAAGATGGTATAGTGTTAGGGTTAAGATTTTGGACTTCAAATTAGGATTGCAGCAATCAAGTACTAACGTTAGCACTTACTCTTTTGAGCAAATAATTTAACCTCTCTTTGCTTCAAAATCCTGTACTATAAACTGGATTGATAGTAATAGTACCTATTTCATAGAGTTATTGTGAAGAATAGGTAAGTTATACCTATGAAAGTACCTAGAGTAGAGCCTGACAGTATTATTTTTAGTAAGTATTCAAAATTGTTATTTGAAATAAAATTTTCTACTTTAATGTTATTCTCCACCCCAAAGCATCCTTCTTGCATAAATTTGTCACTTCAATAACTGCTTCCTACCTTTCTGTACTGTGTTTACTTTCATCTTCATATCATTGGTTATGGTGTTTACCAGTCTGTAGTGTTTAATAATGGATTTTAAACATTTTGATTATTTTTTATTTCTCCATAACAGAAATAGAAATGCAGGAACTGAAACTCAAACACAAAAGGAATCTCCTGGATTTTCTTTTCTTATGAGTTGTACTTCTAGATCACCTGGATTGAATTTATTTGATTCCTCTGTATTTGATTCAGAAAGCTCATCAGATCAGGTATTAAGACAAGTTGAAATTTTATTTCTAAAAACTGCACACTGGCACTTGAAGTACTGTTATATTTTTAGTACGGAATGACCTGGGGAA